CTGAAACTTGGACTGTGGGTGGAGGGGGCACTCACCTGGTGATGTATGGTCATTTGTGACAGGTAGGGTGGATCGATTGCACGTGCGCACGTGAGGGGTCCACTTATACATCTCAAGAACGGCTGGGCCGATTTTGCTCAAATTTTGTACACTGTTGGGGACAATTTAGAAAGGTGGCTGGCACAAGTCATCTGGAGTCTCAGTTAGCGCGTGCGCACGTGCAGCGGTCCGCTTTTATATCTCAAGAACGGCTGGGCCGATTGCGCTCAAATTTGGTACGTTACTTTAATCGAGTATGAGAAGGGTAACTATGTGTTATTAGTAAGGTAGGGTATGGGTAGGTTAGGGTAGGGTAGGGTGGGTTTGAGTTCGATAAAGGCAGACCATGAGAAAGGCTCTAACAACCCGCAACCAGCACCAGCATAACATGCCGTTCAAACAAATATCCAACTCCGACAAAATAAGACAAATAAAATCATAAGTTCCCACATCCAAACTAATGCCCCATCAAACGTATCTATCAAAACGCACAGTTATAGCGCAAAATATGCCATCTAGTCTATATTATGAATTATAAGTCGTCCGTCCAATCTCCATCCATCCGTGTGTCATGCCTTATGTGTCTTATTGCGCCTGAAAGGCGCCGCGTATCGACGTGAAATTTTGTGGGCACAATCTGTGGCTTGAGGCGACCTTTGTATTAAAATTTGGGAGTCATCGGCCCAGGGGTGCGCCGTCAGCACGTGCAAAAGGGCGCTCCCATAGCGATAACACGGGGCTGGCTGACATGCCGATCGGACGAAAATTGGGCCTGCAGCGCTCCGTTCCCGAGCTTATTACTCGGCGAAACAAGGTCTCAGCGACACGGGGTTGCCACCAATGGATAGAGGAGAGATGGAACTACCGTATTGTAATGGTTTCATAGTACAGCACGCGCCACGTGCAAGACAGCACCCCCGGTTGTGAAAAAAATGACCGATTTCGTGCATTGTGACGGGAAAATGGATGCCGCTGGAAAACGGTTTGACGGAATGAAATCGGTGTGGTACCATTTTGCAGACAAATGTACGTGTAATGATAGCAAAACAAATAAAAAGTGATGATCCGTACCATTTCCTTAATAATGAAACATTAATTGGAAAATTTGATTCGCGCGGAGCGCGATGTCCTTTACAACATCAAAACGTATTGAAAACGCTGACCAATGGCTATGAAACCTACCTACATATTCGGAAAGAGCATTCTTTTCTGACCAATATCCACCCAAAATATTATCGAAAAGTCAATAAACTTTCGTGAAAATGACTCAAGCATGTGACCGTGTTTTGTTGACGTTACCGGTATTTTTCGACAAAATCCGATCGATGGCTTATGGCCGGCAAGTCATTCAACTTTTGACAATAGCTATCAAAGCATGGGCTGCAATACACCGCCCGCCAAGGGGAATTCCAAACACTGAAAATAAGCGCCTTCCAGTAAACAGCACATTTTTGTACTAGGAATAACTCAGCTACTACTGGGCCGATTGCGCTGAAACTTGGACTGTGGGTGGAGGGGGCACTCATCTGGCGATGCATGGTCATGTGTGACAGGTAGGGTGGATCGATTGCACGTGCGCACGTGAGGGGTCACTTATACATCTCAAGAACGGCTGGGCCGATTTCGCTCAAATTTTGTACACCGTTAGGAACAATTTAGAAGGGTGGCTGGCACAAGTCATCTAGAGTCTCAGTTAGCGCGTGCGCACGTGCAGCGGGCCGCTTTTATATCTCAAGAACGGCTGGGCCGATTGCGCTCAAATTTGGTACGTTACTTTAATCGAGTATGAGAAGGGTAACTATGTGTAGGTTATGAGTAAGATAGGGTATGGGTAGGTTAGGGTGGGGTAGGGTTGAGTTCGATTAAGGCAAACCATGAGAAAGGCTCTAACAACCCGCAATCAGCACCAGCATACCATGCCGTTCAAACAAATATCCAACCCCGACAAAATAGACAAATAAAAATCATAAGTTCCCACACCTAAACTAATGCCCCCTCAAACGCATCTATCAAAACGCACAGTTATAGCGCAAAATATGCCATCTAGTTAGCTACAAATGAAAGGTTGCCTTTTGTTCATGGGTACCTTTGGAAATAAGAGAGTGTTTGCACACCATGAATTTCTCAAACCCTTTAATTCTCCATCCCTGGCCCTTGGGTATTTAGTCTCAGTAGGTACCTATGGGCTCACGGACGTTATTTGTGGATGTAGGTCATGTGAATGTAGGATGAGGTAGGTAGCCACCACTCCCAACAAATTTCTTAGCAGTGATGCACCCATAAATTTTCTGAAGGGGATGGCCCAAACACCACTTTATCTAATCTGTGTTGTTGTGTTCTTCATCAATACCTGCCAATGGTCTACTCTACATATTCACTTTCGTTCCTTCCAATTATTTGTATATTGTGATATATTATAAGGGATTTGGATGGTTTTCCAAGTAGGTATGTAGGTACTTAGGTAATACGTAGATAGGTACCTACCTCAGGGATGGAGAATGGCTAATGTTTCTTAAATACCTACCTATTAATTACTATTAATTATTGTTTGGTCCAGCTCACCTGGGTTGAATTGCCTGCTTAGTCTTTGTCTTGCATTTCCTTAATCAATTTTGTTAATGTTGCATGGGTGCAATGTCAACATTGTCATTGCCTATTGTTTTGTAGCTGATAGCAATTAAAATGCCTACTCAAACTGTTTCTGCTACTTTCAGCTTCTAGCTTCAAGTCCAAATCCCATTCATTTATCACATGCTCCAATTCACATTCCACAGTCCTCTCCGGATCAAGGAGCCACATCCACTACTACACCTCGGTCTGCTTCACCAGCTCCTGTGCCTACATTGTCATCTGCTCCTGTGGAGGAGCCCACACCTGTGTCTCCATCCACCTCTTCTGCCAGTCTTTCTGACTATGGAAGCTCCTCAACATCTGCAAGTGCAGGTAGGAATGGAACTTTTTTGTTACTCTATAATTACTATCTACCTACTTTTTCTTACTTTGTCCCCCTCGTGGCCGAGTGGTCTAAAGCGCCGGAGTTCGACGCTGAAACCGGTGGTGAGAGCCCGTTTCAAGCCCCGGTGTGGGCGGTCGTCAGGAACAAGCTATGTTTAGTGCGGGCTCTGATCCCTGAAGTCACTGATCCCTGGCAGGCGCCCGCGGCGCCTGCCAGCCGCCGCGGGTAGGCTGGCAGGCGATGCACCACCTAGCGGGCTCTAGCTGCATTAGTAACATGTATATGTGGTGTGTGGTGTCGCTTCGATCGCCCGGGATTGGTGCTCCGCCAACACTCGGAGGCTGGTCTTCGCCTGGTGGAAGCCCCTGTTGGTGTCAGCATCAAGCGATAATCGAGATTATACATTTATTGACCAGGGTTGTGCTTGACGCAGATTTTACGGGCTGACTCAACTCTGACCTATGCTATAAATAATGCATGGGACCAATGCTACGGAGTCGGAGTCGGTAGTTTTGGCCGGCGTCGGAGTCAACAATTTTTCACCGACCGAAGTCTGAGCTGGAGTCGGAGTCGATTTTTTTTTTCAATCCGGAGTCGGAGTCGGAGTTGGAGTCGCCGAAATTTGGTCGACTCCGAAGCACTACATGGGTCTCAACTCTGACTCAACCCACCACTTTGATTTTATCGATTGACTCGGCTCTGACTTAACGTAAATCCCATATTTTCTAACCTGACTCAATTCATGGTCTCTGGCTCAACTCATTTCAGTCAGGATGAGCAAGAGTTAGTGAATTCTGTCTCATGACTTATCATACTTCACCTAATAGGTACGGCCAAAAGCTGTTGACGGGAGGAGGGGTGTGGTCGAATGTAGCTGTTCCCATGTAACGCAACAAAGAAAGGGGAAATCTTAACGTTTCAGCAAAACAAGTGACTAAACTTAGACTCGCGCAGTATCTAGTTGACTCAACTCTGGCTCAAATCAGCCTCCGAGCGCACCAATCCCAGGCGACCGAGGCGACACCACACACCACATACCTATACATGTTACTAATGCAGCTGGAGCCCGCTATGCGATAGGCGCACAGTGTGAGCAAAGTGGTTTTGCGACCCAAGTTAAAAGAACAAATTTTCTCTGTCTGACAGATCCAAGGCCGTATGACAGAGCAAAATTTTGTGAATTTTGGAGCCAACTCATTTAAAACGAACTTCTGTGATTTTTTGCCTTGGTGACACAAAGGAGCGTTCAATCACATACCAGGCATCAGCAGTTGGTTGATTGCTGCGTACTGCGTGTGTTTTGGAAGCTTTTGTTGTGAAAGTATGCAGCAGCAGACTAAAAATTGCCGTTTGTAATAGTGAAAGGTCCACAGAACAAAACTTCAAAGTTCCTAAAAACAGAGAAGCAGGTCACTTTTCTGACACGCGCACCGCCTGCCAACCTACCATCCGTGGCGCCATGCTGATGATGTTACGGGCCTGCACATGCTGTTCCTAACAACTCCGGCCAAAACTACTGACTCCGACTCCACAGGACTGCTAGGTAACAACCAAAAACTTTCTTTTAAACAGGGTCATATTCCCATCCTGCCCCACTGCGAAGGGCAACAAACAATATGAATATGTGATGATGTGATGGTGATTTTAAAAAGACTGTAACATTGTCAACTCAAAGCCGTTTAAACATAATTTGGGGCACAAATAAAAACCGGACCCAGATAGCCTATTGCCTCGCGCCACCAGGCATCATCCACATATTCTCTCCTAATTGCTTCATCCTTTATTTCCAGCTACATCCTGTGCTTCGGCATGCTGCTCCTCGGCCCATCCTCACCAGCCAACCGATACCGCTACTCTTGCAAAAACAGCGCGTGCTCAGGGAGATCGCAAGAGGGCATTTTGCACCGACTGGTATGCGCAGTATGGCTGGCTGAGTCTCTGTTCGGAATCCGGGAAGGTCTTCTGTCATGTGTGTCGCAGGCAGGACAAGGTGGGGAAGCTCACGATGAGTAAATGGAAGGAGCCTGCGTTCGTGAATGATGGGTTCAACAGCTGGAAGAAGGCACAGATGAGCTTCGCCAAACACGAAAAGTCGATGTGTCACCAAGAAGCATGCATGAAAGAACTGAATGAAAAACAGGAGGGCATCTCTGCGCTACTGTCGCAGCAGGCAAGCATGGAACAGGCTAAGCGAAGAACCTGCTTGAAGAAGGTTATCGAAACCCTGCTGTACCTACTGCGACAGAACATTTCGATCAGGGGAAAAGATGAAGCAGACGGCAATCTGTGTCAGCTGCTCAGCCTCAGAAAGAAGGATGTGCCAGAGCTTCAGCACTGGAAAGAGTATCTCTCTCCGACCATCCAGAATGAGCTGATTCGCGCTATCGGCACGACTCTGTTGCGTGATCTGCTGAAGGATATCCGGGAAGCCCGGTTCTTTGCCATTTTGGCGGATGAAACAACCGATGTGTCGTTGAAAGAGCAAGTCAGCCTATCTATTCGCTGGGTAGACGCTGATCTACAAGTTCACGAAGACCCGGTCGAACTGATTCACACTGAGGAGACCACTGGCGAAGTGCTCACGGCCATTTTGAAAGATGCACTGGTGCGTATGGAGCTGCCACTGAGTCAGTGCCGTGGACAGGCGTACGACGGCGCAGCGAATATGCAGGGCAAGTTGAAAGGAGTGGCGACAAGGATCAGCCAAGAGTGCCCAGCTGCCCTGCATGTGCATTGTCTCGCTCACTGCACAAACTTGGTGTTGCAAGAGGCTGTCAGGAAAAACAAGATGATTCGAAATGCACTTGACATCACGAACGAGCTCACATCCTTCGTCCGAAACTCTCCGAAGACGGCTGCGTTGCTCCGGCGCCTGGCACTGGGGACAGAGTCAGGGACTGGCTCTCTGCGTCCACTGTGCCCCACCCGCTGGACGTGTCGTACTGCATCGCTGAGAAGCGTACTGGAAAACTACGAGCTCATCATGCACACTCTGGAAGAGGTGAGCACCGAGTCGAGCGGAGAGCACGCTCGAAGGGCGGGAGGAATGCTGGCCCTCATGGGTCAGTTTGACACACTGATGGGCCTACGCATGGCCATCGAGGTGTTTTCCATCGCAGAAGACCTCTCGCGTGGCCTGCAGTCGGCGACAGCGACGGTGGGAGACACACAGAAGGCAGTGACACGTGTGTGTGAGCGATTTGACAGCATGCGGACAACGGTGTCGTTCGACAAGATGTACGAGAAGACCGAACGAGATGCAGAAGAGGTGGGTGTCGACGGGCCTCAGCTTCCTCGCAAGCGCAAGGTTCCCATGAAACTGGGCGGTGGTGATCAGCATCCAGACGCAACGGCAAAGGAGATGTACCGCCGCCAGTTCTTTGAAGTTCTTGACCTGCTGACAAACCAGCTAAAGGAGAGGTTCACTCAGCCGACCTTCGAAAAGGCTCGTGAGGTGGAGCGCGTGTTGGAAGTGCGGGGAGAGACGTCTCCGTTCCCGCCGTCGTCAGAGAGCTCTATGGCGACGATCTGGACCTGGCACGGCTGGAAGTGCAGCTGAAGATGCTTCCAGATGTGGTCGGGGGCGGCAGAAACTCGGTGCATGAGGTACTACAGGCGCTAGTGGATTCGAAACAGACCGGCGGTGCTGTGTTCCAGAGAATGATGAGTGAGGTGCTCACACTGGCTATACTCTACCTCACCGTCCCCGTCACTACGGCTACGGCAGAGCGCTGCTTTTCGTCACTCAGACGTATAAAGAGTTACATCCGTTCTACCATGGGGCAAGGCCGGCTGAATGCCGCCATGCTGTGCGCGACACACAGGCAGCGCGTGGATGAACTGAACGTCGACTTGATCGCAACTGAGTTCTTTGGTGCAAACGATCGGCGCCGGTCGTTCTTGGGACGCTAAGGCACAGGGCACAGACCAAGACTAGTAGAACGTAAGGTTAGGCTGAGGCAGATCATCTTTGGTGACAGCTCACCGCCTGAGAGTTAACAGACATGTGATGGGGGCTGCCACATCGCACAGACGACGACCGTAGAGTTGTGGCAGCGTCAGCACCTCGCTGATCATCCTTGTGAAGTGAGTAGTGGTGATCAACTTCCAGTTCTGTTACCGCCCCAGTCAAAGATGTGTGGTACCTGAAGTGCGTTCGCAGAGTTGCGCCAACCTCACTTAAACTTCAAGTTCTGTTAAATAAACTCTGGTTGAGATTCGTACTCCATGTATTTTCCTTCTTATCGACCGGATCAAGATCCAGTGCATAGTCACCGGATGGTCTGTATGTGGTACGCAGTTGTTGGGCGCGGCTGACGCTGTAAAACTCCGTAACATTTAGTGCAGCCGCGGGGACATCAGTGCTTTATCATAGGCTATAGTAAAATGACTCAATGTTTTTACGATAGTTTATAAAGGGACCACCTGGCAACCGCTGTTGTTCAAATCCAGTCATTTGCCCGTGTTATACGCGAAATCCGGCCTCCAAAATAGTGGGTCAAATACGCATATTTTTAGTTTTGGGTCCCATGACGTATCTGGCCCCCCCACTCTTGAAAACGTTCCTACGCCTATGATCACAAATAACTCATATTCTTGCCTCCCTACCAAATCCTTGTCAAAAAACAATGAAGGAAATAAATAACATCTTATTAAACTTTGTGTGGGGCTCGCAAAGAAATCCGATAAAAAGAGCACGCCTTTGTCAAACAGTAACCGAAAACGGTCTTGGAATGATAGACATTGAATCGTTTGTGAATTCACTGAAAATCAAGTGGATAAAAAGGCACATTGCTGGAAACAAAGCTACGTGGCATGCGCTTGTACCAAATAAAATAAATGACGATTTTATTTGGAATTACGGTGTCGTGGCACTGAAAAAAAAACTTGAATATATCTTAAATCCTTTCTGGAAGGATGTTATAAACGCATGGATATTTTTTTCTATGAGGTTCTGCTCAGAAGACAGTCTTCTTTGCTACGAAAATATTTTCAACTCAGACCTAACAAAATTTAAAAAGAAGAGGTATGCACGATGGGAAAGAAAGGGCGTTAAATTTATTGGGGATTTGTACGAAAATAATAGGCTGATGACATGGCACCAATTTAAAGAAAAGTTTAATATAAACTGTGTCCCATTAGAGTACCAAGGACTCTTGCATAGTTTGCCTGCCCTCTTGAAAAAACAACAGTCACCAGGATGGTACATGCAACCAGCGCTTCCAGCACGTGTTCAGTGCCTATTAACTAATAAAACATTTACGAGATATTTCACAAAAATTGCTGGAAGTGACACCAGAGCACACGAAGACATCGCGAGAATAGAAAGGAAATGGATTTCTGATGTTGGCAATTTTGAAAAGCTATCAGTTTATAATATCGAAAAAGGTGTAAACGCGAGCAAATATAGGTATATCATTCCATTTTAAACTGAATACGCGTATCCTGAAAACTAATGTTTTCTTAAGTATGATTAATGTTCAGGAAAATAACAAATGCACCTTTTGTGAGTCGGAACCAGAGACATTGAAACATTTATTCGTAATGTGTCCAGTACTGGACAGGTTTTGGGATGAGGTTTCCAATTTTATGTCGAGCAACAGGTTAGGTCACCTTTCAAATAAAACTAAACTATTTGGGCACAATGAAATACCAATGATAGCACACTGCGTGACGGTGGCGAAATATGTGATATACGAGGCAAGACGTGCACAGAAATTGCCTTATTTCATTCATTTCAAGACATGCCTTTCAAGAGATTTTATTTCCGAAGAATATATAGCACGTAAAAATGGACAAACTGAGAAGTTCAGGGAAAAATGGAAATCCTTGGACACATGCTTACGCACAGATAACGAAAGAAGAATTACAGCATAGATTAATATTGTATACCCTTTTGTTCTGCGAACGAGGGGATTGCACATTGAACAAAAAAGTAAAATATCACAATAGTAAGTAAAATAATTTACACAAACATGTAAGAGCCTATGCAACTCGTATGCAGCATATATATATATATATATATATATATATATATATATATATATATATATATATATATATATATATATATATATATATATATATATATATATAGCGAACAAACTAATAAGTGACGTTTCGACTTTTTATTGCTAAAGTCTGCCTCAGAAGTTAACTCTGGCAAGCCATATCTGCTTCTCTCTTCTGAGAAGCAGATATGGCTTGCCAGAGTTAACTTCTGAGGCAGACTTTAGCAATAAAAAGTCGAAACGTCACTTATTAGTTGTTCGCTATATTTAATCTGGCATAAGTTTTATTATATATATATATATATATAATATATATATTATATATATATATATATATATATATATGCTGCATACGAGTTGCATAGGCTCTTACATGTTTGTGTAAATTATTTTACTTACTATTGTGATATTTTACTTTTTTGTTCAATGTGCAATCCCCTCGTTCGCAGAACAAAAGGGTATACAATATTAATCTATGCTGTAATTCTTCTTTCGTTATCTGTGCGTAAGCATGTGTCCAAGGATTTCCATTTTTCCCTGAACTTCTCAGTTTGTCCATTTTTACGTGCTATATATTCTTCGGAAATAAAATCTCTTGAAAGGCATGTCTTGAAATGAATGAAATAAGGCAATTTCTGTGCACGTCTTGCCTCGTATATCACATATTTCGCCACCGTCACGCAGTGTGCTATCATTGGTATTTCATTGTGCCCAAATAGTTTAGTTTTATTTGAAAGGTGACCTAACCTGTTGCTCGACATAAAATTGGAAACCTCATCCCAAACCTGTCCAGTACTGGACACATTACGAATAAATGTTTCAATGTCTCTGGTTCCGACTCACAAAAGGTGCATTTGTTATTTTCCTGAACATTAATCATACTTAAGAAAACATTAGTTTTCAGGATACGCGTATTCAGTTTAAAATGGAATGATATACCTATTTTGCTCGCGTTTACACCTTTTTCGATATTATAAACTGATAGCTTTTCAAAATTGCCAACATCAGAAATCCATTTCCTTTCTATTCTCGCGATGTCTTCGTGTGCTCTGGTGTCACTTCCAGCAATTTTTGTGAAATATCTCGTAAATGTTTTTTAGTTAATAGGCACTGAACACGTGCTGGAAGCGCTGGTTGCATGTACCATCCTGGTGACTGTTGTTTTTTCAAGAGGGCAGGCAAACTATGCAAGAGTCCTTGGTACTCTAATGGGACACAGTTTATATTAAACTTTTCTTTAAATTGGTGCCATGTCATCAGCCTATTATTTTCGTACAAATCCCCAATAAATTTAACGCCCTTTCTTTCCCATCGTGCATACCTCTTCTTTTAAATTTTGTTAGGTCTGAGTTGAAAATATTTTCGTAGCAAAGAAGACTGTCTTCTGAGCAGAACCTCATAGAAAAAAATATCCATGCGTTTATAACATCCTTCCAGAAAGGATTTAAGATATATTCAAGTTTTTTTTTCAGTGCCACGACACCGTAATTCCAAATAAAATCGTCATTTATTTTATTTGGTACAAGCGCATGCCACGTAGCTTTGTTTCCAGCAATGTGCCTTTTTATCCACTTGATTTTCAGTGAATTCACAAACGATTCAATGTCTATCATTCCAAGACCGTTTTCGGTTACTGTTTGACAAAGGCGTGCTCTTTTTATCGGATTTCTTTGCGAGCCCCACACAAAGTTTAATAAGATGTTATTTATTTCCTTCATTGTTTTTTGACAAGGATTTGGTAGGGAGGCAAGAATATGAGTTATTTGTGATCATAGGCGTAGGAACGTTTTCAAGAGTGGGGGGCCAGATACGTCATGGGACCCAAAACTAAAAATATGCGTATTTGACCCACTATTTTGGAGGCCGGATTTCGCGTATAACACGGGCAAATGACTGGATTTGAACAACAGCGGTTGCCAGGTGGTCCCTTTATAAACTATCGTAAAAACATTGAGTCATTTTACTATAGCCTATGATAAAGCACTGATGTCCCCGCGCTGCACTAAATGTTACGGAGTTTTACAGCGTCAGCCGCGCCCAACAACTGCGTACCACATACAGACCATCCGGTGACTATGCACTGGATCTTGATCCGGTCGATAAGAAGGAAAATACATGGAGTACGAATCTCAACCAGAGTTTATTTAACAGAACTTGAAGTTTAAGTGAGGTTGGCGCAACTCTGCGAACGCACTTCAGGTACCACACATCTTTGACTGGGGCGGTAACAGAACTGGAAGTTGATCACCACTACTCACTTCACAAGGATGATCAGCGAGGTGCTGACGCTGCCACAACTCTACGGTCGTCGTCTGTGCGATGTGGCAGCCCCCATCACATGTCTGTTAACTCTCAGGCGGTGAGCTGTCACCAAAGATGATCTGCCTCAGCCTAACCTTACGTTCTACTAGTCTTGGTCTGTGCCCTGTGCCTTAGCGTCCCAAGAACGACCGGCGCCGATCGTTTGCACCAAAGAACTCAGTTGCGATCAAGTCGACGTTCAGTTCATCCACGCGCTGCCTGTGTGTCGCGCACAGCATGGCGGCAT